AGGGCTCAACGGGCAACACTACCCGTCCTCCATACAAAAAATTTTTGGCTGATCGTGTAAGACACCGGCCGAGCCGAGCCGAGCCGAGCCGAGTTTTAGTAATTACCTAATCTTGCGGCACATCCGCGTATATTTCGCCTTTCAAAGCAGAATACACGTTTTTTACTTCTCTTGTCCGTACAGGCAGTTCTCATCTTTTTCTATGTGATGACTTCTTGGTTGGCTTTTCGCGGGGTTTGCGTGACAGATACTGATCAGCTCTTGCGCACTTAATTGCGTCTAAAAATTTTTTTTAAACTTAGGCATTTCTTGCTGCTGCATACCATCCGGAAACTGTTGAATTCTCATTAGTGACTTTCAAAAGAAAATCATTTGAAGAGCTGCAAATTCGCAGAAGTTCTATTATTTTGGACAGTCATATATACCAGCTACAGAGTTGGAGAAGAATAGCTGAGAAAATAAATCGAACTTTGAATGTATGTTAAACCAAAAACAGTCATCGTGTTGTATCTTTCGCATACAGGTGAGCCACTCGTCGAATGTGGAAATCAGCATATCCGATTTGTTGCTCAGACAGCAAAACCGTTTCGAGGCAAAGTGTTCGTGAAAGGCGAGTACTCAAACAGCGAATGCGTTCGAACTTATGGCGATGGAGAAGAAGCTGACTCTTCCAGACAAGGTCTCTTGTTGATTTTTATTGAAAATGCCATCGAATTCAGTATGTGTTAGATAAAAACGACTGCAATGGCGACATAATAGTGGCAGCGATACAAGTACCGTTACCATCGTTCTCTCCAAGACCTGAGGGTAATTTCCTGCTTTTCACTTAATGGGTATAACTTCAAATTAAGTGGGAATGAAATATAGGCACTAAATTCAACCAGGCTGGTGCGATTTCTGCTCGAAAATTACTAAAATTGTATTTCGCAACTCTAGGGCGGAAAATCGAGGCAGGGGTATTAAGTACTAAATATTGAAAACAGGCTATTTTGGTAACTTTTACCGTGATAATGATAGTGATAATAATTATGATTTTTGCAAACAAACTTCTTTTCATTCAACTTTATGAATTCCGTAGCATTATCTAGACCTGAGATGTTGGGTTTTGAAAAATTTCCATTTCTTGATGTGTTTTTATAAGTCATTGATGGGCGGTCTTCATGAAGACTATTCAAGGAAATAAGGACTTATTAGAAGATAAATAGTGCCAATGGAATATAAATTATCAATTTGCAGGAAGTACGCCTAATTTTGCACAGAAAGAGAAGAGCTCAGTGGATGCTGGCTCGCAGAACTTTTCCGACTCACTAAACGCCGCAGCAGAAGAAAGTGAAAATGTTTCAACGACGTCTTCACCATTAGCAGCAGCACAATTTACTTCCACAACGAGGGATCGAGGGTTTGGCAGCACCAAAAGTCCGCCAATAAATAAAATCCAGAAAACGCCCGATGCTTTGACGTTCGAGGGCGAGACGTCTGAATTCGAAAATGCTGTTGCTCTCACGAATGAACAACGGCATACGGCAACGTATGATATTCGTGTAACAGAAAAAACAGGAAGAAAGACTGGTGAAGTGTTAGCTGGCCTGAGCTCCAACAAAGAAAAATCTGCTTTGGCTAGCAACAGTGCTTCCAGTTCTATTTACAGTAATGATTCAGTGGCCAATCATGGATCTCAGTCTCAGGTGCTGAAAAGCGAAACATCTTTTGATGCCATTAATGCAAAAGCGGGAAGAAATCTAAGCACATTGGTACTTGGAAAAACAGAAAGTGCAAAAGTGGAAAATACCAAATTGATCGGAGCATTTGAAAACAGCAATTTTGAGACCAGAGAACTGAATGACGTTCGCGCCAGGACTAACCTATCAATTCTGAAACAAAATATGCAAAATGAGCAGGGAGGTACCATGCATCATCAGTCAATAGCAAGTAGTGGAAAATCGAGCACTCCAAAATCCTTGGATTCGAGCGCGCTGCATAAATTTGGCAGTTCCATGTTCATGCCAACAACTGGAAATCCGCAATGTCCGCCGTGCCCTGTATGTCAAGATTCACCAAATATCAGGAGGCAACGCGAAACTTCCGAGACTACTGCCGACCTGAATGTGAAACTTGGCAGCTGCAATGCGAAACATGAACATCGGGTAAGCTAATACTAGAACTAGGTGACTTTTATGGGCAGTCGAGAAACTTTTGAAAGACGCCGCAACTATTCTTTTTTGGAAGTTAAAAAATATATTTTTTAGTTAGTGCTTATGTGAGGATCGTCAATAATAATAATAATAATAATAATAATAATAATAATAATATT